CGCCCCCCGGCCCCTCTCTCTCTCTCGAGCGCGCTCACCTCCGCCGGGGCCCGGGCCGCTCCCTTTGTCCGCCGCGGCTCCCTCCGGCCTCTTCCCGGCCGGATCGCCGGGCCGGCGGCCGGGCTCCTCCCTCCGGGCCGCTCCTCCTCCTCCTCCTCCTCTTCCTCCTCCTTCTCCTCTTCTCCTCCTCGTCCCTTCGCTCCCATCCTCCTGAAGGCGCAAGGAAGGAAGGAAAGAGGGAAAGAGAGAGAAAGAGAGAAAGGGGCGAGGGCGTGCGCAAAGCCCAATCCAGGGCTCGCGAAAGGGGACTTTGGCGTGGGCGTGGGGGGACTACAACTCCCAGAGTCCCCAAGACAGGCTGGGGGGGGAGTAGCTGGAGACTTGTAGACCACCGCCTCCTCGGAATAATTTCCCCAAGCTCAGCCCCACTTTGCTGGTTGGCTGGCTGGCGGAGGACCGGCGGAGGACCGGCGCTGCCCCGTCCCAAGAGCCTTGGGGATGCCTTGCCTTCGGGGCCCCTTTGACCTGAGGCCCGCTGGAGTCCCCCAGAGGCTCAAGCCAAAGAAGAGTGGGCTGCTTTGCAAAGTGCCGCCAGGCTCGATGGAGTGCTGATGGACTGAAGTATATTGATCTAGCCCCACCCTACATCATCCTGCAGATCCCTGGAAGGGGTGGCTTGCCACCAGTGTCCTCCTCCTCACTTGGAAAGAACAGAAAGCCGGTCAAGGGCTGTAAAGCCACACTTTACAAGTACTTTAAAAGAGTTTACCAGTGTAAACGAAAATAAAATGAAATGAAAACAAGCAAACAGGAACACTTGAATTCAAGGCCAGGATTCCACTGGGAGGCTCAGCTGAGCAGCTGCTCCGGTTGTGGCTGCTCTGGGGCACCCCCTCCCTCTGCAGGATAGGTGCACTGCTTAGGTGCTCATCACGAAAATCCCCTTAGCTGGTTCCCAAATACTGTACAAGGTCTGTAGTGCGGCTGTCTGCATTTCAGAATTTCCCCCAGGCTTGTTGTTTTTACGTGCCATTAAATAATTGCTGACTTTTGTGCTCATCACGAAAATCCCCGTAGCTGGTTCCCAAATACAAGGTCTGTAGTGCTGCTGTCTGCATTTCAGAATTTCCCCCAGACTTGACTGTTGTTTTTACGTGCCATTAAATAATTGCTGACTTTTGGTGACATTATAACTGAGTGACCTCCAGAAAATCCTACTGCCAGCAGTCCTATAGATAGAGCTTTTGC